ACTTTTTTATTATATTAGCTTTCCTTCATTCAATGGTTCCAATTTATTGCTTGAACTTCACGTTCCTTTAAGTATGAGTCAAGCTCGTCTCTACATTTTGGTGATATTCACGCGATTGCTGTCAGTTGCCGATCGAGTCGTCGTGCTGCAGGTATAATACGACTGGACTGTGAATTTAACACGTGTAAAATCCAGTTAATAGATAATCTCATTTTCAACAGTATATTTTATCTAATACAATTTAAGGATTCTGACAGAGTTAAACAGCATAATAATACCATAGTAGTTTAAAGTGTATGATGCTCGCCTTATGGACGTAATACCCTGGAGGTTCCTCGGTATCGATAAAGATTTAAAAAAAAAAATAAACGAGCACACATTTAACCTCAATTAAGAATTGCAGATTTGTTGTCACCACTGAGGACTAAGATGGAATGCCTCATTTCCAGTAAAACGGGTCTCCGGTTCTTTACATTCACCATACGAAACACAGCAGCACTAAGCTGCTTTTTTACCCTGGTATTCTGTGAGAACGTGTTCCTTCCCCGATCTAGCCGACCCGTTCGTGCTACAACCATAATATAGCATCAGCGTGGCTCTACCACTCATAAAAGTTATCAACCGCAATTCCAATCTTACATGTACTCATATGAAGGAAAACATTGTTAGGCGTAAACAAATTCCAAAAAATTCCTTTTTTAAAAGTTTTTAGTTTATTTTATAAAACTTACGTTTGTCAAAAAAACTGACTGGTAGGTTTCCTTTTCAGTGTAAGAGTCCATTTGTCTAGGTATCACGCCCTTACCTATTTCAGGCGGAAAATAGCAGTGCTTGCACAGCAATGTTCTGATTTAAATCGCATAGAGACTCAGTATAATGACAGTATAATTTAAACGTGGTAGAGCCACGCTACAACTATATTATGGTTGTGGCACGAATGGGTCAACTCATCCAACTCATCCGGGGAAGGACCACGCTCGCACAAAATACCAGCGTAAAATAGCAGCTTAATACTGCTTTGTTTCTTATGTTGAGTGTAGAGATCCGGAGACTCTTTTCTAATGGAATCGAGGCATTCCATCTTAATCCTCAGGGGTGACAACGTATCTCCGTTTTAATTATAAATCGAGGATAAATGTAGATGTCTATAGACCTCATCATCCACTTACCAACAGATGGACTGTGTGCTCGTTTGTCACCCTTATTCTATAAAAAAGTCTTATGAGACATTCCTTCTTAACCCTTCTTTTTTGAGGTTGAATGCGGGTGTATATCTAGCTACTTTACCCGGTGCATTGTGAGTTTGCTTATCACTTCAGTTTCATTAAAAAAAAGTTAGGAAATGTCTCTCCTAATCGTAGTGTTGTTCAATTTCGAAAAACCTTTTATTTTCAAGTATAATTCAGATCTGTTATGGTAACGCAACGAAAACAAATGTAGTATGTCTTATTATTGTGCATATGCACTTGTAGTTTTGTTATTACAATACGGAACCCCAAAGAACCGGTCTTAGTTTCGGCGTATCGGTTAGCACTCCCACACACGACGAACCTCTTAATCTTCTAATTATTTCTGACTTTAGAATTTTCAAGGCATTCGCGAAATGAATGAGGAATACAGTCTACATTTGAACAAATTTGAAATGTGCCTAGTTTATATTAGAGTAAACTCAAAGTATGCATTGTAATCTGTTACCGCTATTACAACCTATTAAAATACTGCTGAACACAGGCCTCCCCCACAGGTTGCCTCATAGGGGGGATATTAGCAGTTTTTTTTATTTGTAGTCGTCATTAAGAAGACGCTGCTGGCCATCCCTTAATTTGCCTCCCTCTGTCGACACCCACGGGATGATACGGGGTAGTGGATATTCATACACCGCCACTACATGGTATATGTGTACCAACTTAATTAGAAAATATCCTAGTGATAAGTTGTGCTATGCGATTGTATTTTGTGTAACTCTGGTAGATGTGTAGATGTGTAGATAGGCCAAGTTTGACCTATGAGGTTTGGTTACATTAAATTGTGTAAATGTGAATCTCTATTAACATCGATTATAAGCTGATCTTTTTATATTAATATCTTAGTTTAGGTTACGAAGTGTTATTGAAATTAAAATAAATAACTAACGCAGTTGCAGGTGATTCCCCACACAATTGCATTGCTGATTTAAAAAACCCATGGTCAAAATTACCAGGTTTCCAATCAGCCTTGAACCATTTCATATTATTAAATGTTATTTTAATAAGTATCACACATATAATTTACACACATGTTTAGAAGTAACACCCCAAACTCTTTTTTTCGTGCAATGCAATCATTATGCACTGAAATCAAGTAACCGCAAGCGCAGTAAGGCAAATATAAATAAACGACTTAGCTTAGGTACTCCGCTGTCATATACCGTTAATAGCTGATAAATGTACCAATAAAAATGATTCTATTCCTATGTTGAGACAAAAAGGAACGTAATGCATTTCCCAACTTTTAGGTAAATCCCACTCCGCTTATTCTTGATTTATTTGCTTCACTTTTGAGTAAAATTTATCCTGAATTACTCGTCCTACGCGTTGTGATTCTATATTTTTAGATAAAAATAAAAATGTAATTTTTAGCGTACTATTTAAATACAGTCCTTTGTTACTAGTTATTACCTACTAAAACCAATTTATTACTTAACAAGTAGGTAAAATAACTTCGGTAGAAATGTGCTCAAAGCGACATTTCTTATTACACTTTAGTTCTTATAACCTCAAACTGGATATCAGCGGTGGCCTGAGCTTTAATCGAACCGCAGTTTACTCTCCACGGCTGTCTGTTTTACTTAATCGCCGTCGCAGAGTACTTACAAGTACAGAGAAGGAGGTTAACTGCATTATATAGCTTAAAGCCTTAAAGGAACTGTCACACTATATCATAATTAACGATAAACTATTATTGATTTTTTATGAGACATGACATTTGAGACTATTATATTTTATATGACGAGTGTAGTATTTCCTATGTTTAAAAAAATCACTTCTTTGAATCGAGATATCTTAAATTCATCTGTCAAACGCTGTATTAAATAAAAAACTATAGCTCGAGTTAGTAACGAAAACTCATTTTTCGAGATTTTTCTCGAAATGTATAATGTTTTATGTACATTACACTGGAAATTGGAAAACTAGCCTGCATTTTATATTTGATATTGAAGTAGTTTCTTGCATATAAACACAACAGGAACGTAATATACAATTAAGTTGATAATAATTTAAGCGTATAGCCTGGACTGCTTGTCAAAAGCTTTAACTCCGTATTAAAAAGGGTAGACATCGTTAAGTGGCAGACAGCGTGTGGTCCGCTCTAGGTAATATTGCTCACGAATGATTTATAAGAGTAATACAACTTGCCAATAATTACAGCCGCTTCCCGCGCCGCACCGGCTAGAGGCGATTACGCACCGTCGGCTTGCGACACTAAGCCCGTTCACATCGATATTCCAACGAATTATCCACTCCCGGATCTTTTAAATCGATTTTGTGAAATTCTGTGGCGGTTTACGTCAAACCTAACATTAGTTATCTGTTCTATCTAACGTCAAAATGCGACAGCCAATTTAGGAAAGACCGTTTTCTTTGCATAAGAGAGGCGCTACTCACAGAGTACTTTTTTATAAAGGGAACCGTTACTGCTTACATCTGATTGTTTATTTAGACGTCGGTAAGGAGTTAAACAAAAGGTTTTATTTTATCATAACTTTCACTACGCTAAGTGAATTTATTTTCACCTGTAAATTTATTACAGAGAAACCAGTCGAGAACGTCTTTTACTCTTAACTTGACGACGACGTTCTAAAGGTACGAATTTTGTAATTGAAACCGCTCAATTTAACTGTACTTTTGGCTCAATAAAATGCAGTTTTACGAATCTTAAGACTTAGGTCTTCATGATTTATTGATTCTACAACTTTATCAGAACGACAATTATCAAATATATGAACCGAAACATTATTGTAAAATAGAAATACCAAATATTTATGTATGTATGTTCATTTTAATATAAAGATTTATTACATGATTAATGGCCCATTAATCTTTTAATAAATCTTTATGAATTCTATTTATTTTGTGTGATCTATTTAAACAAAATGTTCTACCTCTGCTGCGGCACTGAGGGCCATGGGTTCAGATCCCGCACGGAAAAGTATTTGTATATCCTACAAATAATTGTTGTGGGTCTGGATGATTGTCTGCCATAATACAGGATAAAATCCTAGTGTTGGTGTAAATAAAAAAAAAGATATAGGTATACCTTACAAGAAGGTCCGATAGTATTTTCTCTTCTTTTTTTCGGCCCGTAGTAGCCTAATGATGGACCTATAGGTATCTATTGCTGTAAAGAAATTTGACCCTGGAGCTTGGCAGGCGGTTGGCAACCACAGTACCAGATACCTCGCACCAATGACGCTGATTTGCGCCTCTGTTCTTGTCAATTCCTCTGCCAGGCGTGATGGAAGGACTCATGTATGAAGAATTGAATCTGTTGTAGAAGGATAAGACTCATGGATGACAACACGTTGTTTTAAGGGTCTAGGGCTATAGACGCCACCTACCATCGGGTTGACTGTTAAACGTAGTAGAGCCACGCTTAACACCTATATTATGGTTGTAGCACATTCCAAATCGGTTTGACCGGGGAAGAACCATGCTCTTAAAGAATACCATCGTAAAATAGTAGCTTAACGCTGCTGTGTTTCGTATGGTGAGTGTAGAGAACCGAAGACCATTTCTACTGTTAATGTGGCATTTTATCTTAGTAGTAACAACCGTATCTACGTTTTGATTCTTAATCGAGAACAGATGTAAGTAGATGTCTATAGAGCGTAGCATGCACTTACCCTGCGTAGGACTGTGTGGTCGTTTGACGCACTTACTCCGTACATAGCAGTACAAAGACAAGGATAAGTCTGTCTTTATCCAATTTAAACAAACTGAGAGTAAACTTTAATGTTTCAGATGCATCTAAGTTCAGTGCGCGTGGCGTTGGCGGCTGTTTTGGCGCTGGTGCTCGGCTTGGCGGTAGCTTCGCCTTCCCCTCCTCACCACGTGGCGCGCCGCTCCTTCTTCAAACTCCAGTGCAAAGGCATCTACGACGCCTCTATCTTCGCCCGGCTCGATCGCATTTGCGACGACTGCTATAACCTCTTCAGGGACCCCTCGCTGTACAATCTCTGCAGGTTTGTAACTCACTTTGTATAGGTTTGCTCAGTTTCAAATCAATCATCACTATTCGTCATTCAAATTCATTTTTATTACAATATACTGTATCATGTAATTTAATTTTTTTTAACATAAAAATCATTTTTAAGTTTTCTCAGTTCATTTACATCAATAAATATGACGTTTAGCGATCCTGGTGAGAATCCGTAAGTTTTGTAGACCGTTAGCACTATTTGTTAAAGTTTGTATGTTCGTTGTTGGGGCACAGGAAAGACTGTTTCACGACTGACTACTTCAAGGGCTGCGTGGAAGTTCTGCAAGAAACCGACCAGCTAGAACTCTTCAAGACGTATATAAAACAGTTACACGGGGCCGATCCAGGGATTTAGGTACCATGGAGTTTTTATTGCCAACCCTACCTTTGTATCCTTTCTCGGTTGAGGTTTATTATAGCAGTTGTCAAAGTTCCCAAAACTAATGCTTACAATTTTTGTAAATAAATCAAACTGCCAGTATTCAAGACAAAACATTTAATGATACTTAATTCGGAATATGTACAAACTCATATTATAGTACAATCATTTACTTTATGATAACCTACATCAAAATATTACTATAATGCAACGTTACTCTTTGTTGAACAATTTTTCTGAAATATTTTATATAAGTGTAAACTGCGAAATGAGAATTTTTTCAGACTTTTATTTTATTTACTTGTTTTATTTATAAATAAAAACTAAATTATTGTTCTTCAATAGTCTATTACAATCTACTGCTGGACTGATGACGACTATTCGACCGATCTTGACGCGGATATCCGCCGACTGTCCCACTATTTACGATACTATATTATACCACTGTAAATTGGTTGTCCTTGTTTTACTCATTTTATTTTTGTTTATTTATATTTCTACTACCAAAACAAGGTTCAACAGGTTTGTTTACGTAATGTTGGACAAAACTTAAATAAATAATCACAGAGACAAATAATAATTATTACTTCTAGAAATATTCTAGTTCCGTATTAAAGAATCAAGTTTACTCGTGAAAACTAGCAGTTACACATATGGGAACTTGTAGGTGACAATTGTTATTGCCGTCTCGCCTTTCCAATCGCCTTCTTTTAACACGCAATTAAGCTTTGCAGTCTTCTCTATTTAAACTTTTGGGTACAACGTTTAGGCTTTTGGGTGCATGCAGTTTTAAAAAAAGAAATTTCCTTTTAATAATGTAGGCAATATGGCGCATGCTGCTCGAGTCTTTCAAGTCTTCTCTTCGTTTTAACAACTAACTGCTGTTCCAGGCTTCACATATCTTATAATCGTCTATTTGTAAATAAAATTACATGAGCTAAGAACGCGGTAAATTATAGTAAAAAAAATTAACAACTCAATAATTAAAGAGTCAGGTGAATTAGCTAAAAGAGTAAGCAAAGAAAACATTACACATTATACACAGGTTTGTATTTAGCAGTTTCTAACTTTATTAACTGTTATAAAGATGATACTAATGTCGTAGCATTATTATACATAAAATAATGCACTACTTTTACTGATATTATATTCTTCTCTTTATATTATTAATTGCGCAGTATTAAAAAAGAACACATAACTGTTCTTTATTTTAATATTCTACGACCGAATATTCCGCTGTTAATTTAAAAAAACAAAATAAAATAATTTGGAACCTTTTTTTTCAATTTTAATTCACTGCTTTCGGGTGTTTTTTTTTGTTATATATAAAATTTACTTAACCAAAACAATTAATTTAGTACATATAATAATAATAATACCTGTGTATTATGCAGGCAAAACGGCGTTTTTTTTTTTAACTTAAACAAATCATTTTACAATTCTTATGACATGTTATCTATTGTACTATATTTGGGAATTTCCTGTTCCTTTGTTAAGAAAATGAATATTTAACGATGCCACCTGTACTTATTGCGCTCGTGCTGTCACATCTTTAAGGCTATCGCAGAGGAATGTAAGCTTGATCTTGTAAATAACTTAAGAATTTATATTTCCTTTCTAAACACCAAATAACAAGCTTGTTTTCACATTTTTTACATTAAAAATTAGCAATCTATGGTGTAGGGAAACGTGATATCGGTTATTTTAAATTAATTAATTTGTTTTATGTTTACAGGCAGGAATGTTTCCAATCGAAGCACTTCATGGGTTGTGTGGAGGCACTGTTGCTCTTAGACGAGAAGGAAGAAATAGAACAAATGGTCGATTACCTCGGGAAACGCTAATGCATACACAGTTATCCCACCATTTCGCGCCAAATCTTGACACATGACGCCATTTTGTATTACTCTACCGAGTGAACACGCCGCCACAGTATAGTAAAACAACGACCATTGTAATGGTCACTATAACTCCACCGCTTTGCCAACAAAAAGCAGAAACGACTGTCAAGTTCCTCCACATTGACGTCTGCTTTCTATCCTCAACGTATTCTAGTCTTTATCGCGACATAAAATTATTTATGTTTGCAACTAATTGTAATGTTATCATAATTTGTATTAGATAATGTGTATACAATGTTAAAGACTTTTGTGTATTTAATAGTAAAAACACGCGAATTCTGTGTTAATAGGTGTTGTAGTAGGCTTCTTGCGAGCTACGGAAGTGTAAAGTACATTAAAGATTTGTTTTATAACTTAGAACACCTCCTAGGTATTAAATAAAACTCAAATCCGAGGCAGATGTTTTTCTGGTTTTGATGCTGGTCATCTCATTCTGTCTGTCTCTAAAAAATGTTTTCTGACTGAATGTTTGTCACTGTAATTTTTAATTAACACTGCGACGCATTCCAAGCACAGTATTTAAACAAAAATTTACTTACGCTTTTTATATTTAAATTTCTGTTTCCTTAACTAACTCTGTATTATTTTCGATGGTATTTAATTATGTATTATATAAGTAAGCGTTTTTAGTTTTGTAAATATTATATAAATCATTCAAGCAGCTTGTACAGTGGTGCGCATGTTTAATTCAATAATGTCCTTATAGTTAAAAAAATCTAAATAGTTAAACAAACTCAAACAGAAAGTGTGGATTTGTAATGTTTTAAAGGTTTTTTTAAATGACAATCAATATTTGACCCGAAAAAAGATATGGAATTTAGACACTACATCGTAGAATATTTTAAAATTAATTATGATTAACGAAATTAAATAATAACTATTCGTGTAATATGAAGGTTTAACCAATTTTAACTTATCTGACAGGAGTATAATATAAAAATGTGACACTTTCACGTAAACAAATGAATTTTCGCTATAATCTGCGACATCTTTTTTAATATGACAATCATAAAACAATATATTTTTTATTACAAATACTTATAAATATATTTAATAAAAAATACTATACAGTAAGTCGTACGATATTAAAAAAAACTGAACGTATTAAAAGTTTGAAAATATTTTGACATTGTTGAATTTAGATGCGAAGTATTCTGTCTATTAGTGTTTTGATATTTAATTAGGTACCTATGTTTAGTTTTAATTACAGTTTGTGTTTAATGCATCACATATTTTTTAGGATTTATTTCAACCATATTGGTAGGCTCCGTGTCATGTTGGTGTATGAAGCGAAGGAAGTACGTAATTCATCACAATTGCAACAAACATGCATCACAATTGGAGATAAAAAAAATTATATTTAAGGTCGTATTTCCTTTGCTTCGAACTGTTTTGGTTGTATCCGTTCAATTTTAAGCGATATATAATTTAATTAGATTTTAAGTATTTAAAAAGGTTTATTTTTTGGTTACTCTCGAACTATTTATTATTTGTTACTTTGTATGGTTTATTTATTTTGAAAAATAATCGGTGTTGCTTGTAACCGTGGTACCAGTACCAGTGATTTTGTTAGAAAAGAAAATAATCATCACTCACTCGCGTATTTCTGATATATTCTGTAAGTTGCGGTTTATACTTACTTTGCTATAATATGTTAGTTTCATCAAAAGCTTTCTCTGTGTTCGAATCTCAGCTATTTTATAGATTTCTTTTAGCGTTTCTTAACCTTACAAGTTCTACAATAGAATAAAATGCCTCTATTATTTCGATTTATTAAGAATAATTAGTTAATCACAAATTATGCCGAACCTACACATCTGCCGTGTAAATTTTACGAGAAATGGTGCCAATTATTGACCGAAGAAACTAGTTTTAACGAATTTAACAAATATTTAGAGATGTTAAAACAATTTAAAGGACCTGTGAAAGTGTTAAAATATAAAAAAATGAATTAGTGAAATATTAATCTATTTGTATAAATTTTATATAAAACAGCTAAGAAACGCTACGGGTTCCATGAAATATATTACATTTTGAAATTGATAATTGCATTTTCTTTTTAATATCCTGCGTATATTAACAGAAACCCAGATAAGAAATTTAATACCGCGGTATAATGGTGGCATAATAACATACATCATGGCCTCATTGTTACTTTTAACTGCATTAAACGAGCAATTTTTGAGCAATAAATTTCCGGCACGAGTTGTAGCAAGCTGGGCCACAATTGTAGCAAGATGGGCCACAATTGTAGCAAGCTGGGCCACAATTGTTGGAGCAATCTAGAGCATTATCTAAATTACTAATAAAAGAACTAAAATTGCGGCAATTATTTCGGTAGTATTGCTTGTATTTTCTTCATATATTCTGTATTCTCTATTATGTTTCCATATAAATCTGTCAATTGCATTTCTCTTTTTTTTTCAGATCGAATTCTGGTAACTCTAGTTATCTGCGCAGGGCGCAGGACAGGATTATAGTGCACGAGTGTGTGCATAAATCTCGCATAAGTGCATGCATCTATTGTCTCACTCTTGTAGAGAGATTTACGTACTTTTCGATGCACGGGACTATAACGCCGTTACTCATTGTAATAAAATAGAAAACTCATGATAATAAAAGCACTCACTCCTAGCCGATGACGCAAGAAAAAGCTCGTCCATGGCCAGTGATAGTAGTTCAACTTAATTGCTAGTTTTTTTTAATTTAATATTCATGAATATATTGCCCATTAACTTGCTTCATATCGCTCGGTATGGTGTACCAGCATCCACATGTTGGCATCACAGTAAAATGCAATATGTTATAATAACGTCATAATTTACAAATAATGCCCATCATTAAGAAATTTAATTTTAACTCAGGATAATTTGCCCGTGTAACTACACCTTTAGATTCAACCATGAAAAATATCTGTCTATTCTTATGACGTCTGAAAGATGGCAGTGTAAAGATGGCATCGCTTATAAGCCGAATTCAAATTTTCGAGACTTGCGATGTACCACATATACAATCACCAATAGACGGTCGCGTTAGAGATAACGGTAAAGTTGTTACGCTATGATAGAGGACTAACAAAGAGTTGGTGATAAGAACACTGTAATATATACCTACAATATGAAAAAAACCTTCTCCAATCGGTGACCCTGACAGCTATTTTTAATTTGATTGTGGTATATATATAAGCTAGAAATATGATTGACTAACGATTACTCACTCCGTCTGATTGTAAATGCATGCTGTGGTCTAGATACACATACATCTATTACAAATTAATAATTAATATTCAGATTAGGAATGTCGATTCTTTCCGAAAAAGATCGATTTTCAATTGTCATCATCATCATCATCATCATCATTACAGCTCTTCACAAGTCCACTGCTGAACATAGGCCTCCCCCAAGTAATGCAACAAAGCACGGTCCTGAGCCACCTGCATCCATCGACTTCCTGCATGTCTTACCAGGTCGTCACTCCATCTAGTGGGGGTCGCCCTATACTACGCCTACCGGTACGAGGCTGCCACTCGAGAACCTTTCTTCCCCATCGGTTATCGGTTCTTCGAGCTATATGGCCGGCCCATTGCCACTTCAGCTTACTAATCCGTTGGGCTATGTCGGTCACTCTGGTTTTTCTGCGGATATCCTCATTTCTGAGTCTACACGTAGAGAAACTCCGAGCATAGCCCTCTCCATAGCTCGCTGAGCGACCTTGAGCGTCCTCATACCGCCAGCAGTGAAGGACCACGTCTCAGATCCGTAAGTCATCACTGGCAACACGCACTGGTTGTACACTTTAGTTTTCAGAGATTGAGGTATACCTGACGAGAAGTTGTGTCGTAATTTCCCGAACGCTGCCCAGCCGAGTTGAATACGTCGATTGACCTCTCGGTCGAAGTTGGACTTATCTAGTCGGACTATTTGTCCCAGGTAAACGTACTCGTCAACAACTTCGAGCATAGTGCTCCCAACAATTACCGGCATAGGTGTGACATGGACATTAAACATGATCTTTGTTTTGTCCATGTTCATCTTAAGACCTATCCGTTGGGAGACACCATTGAGGTCATTGAGCATAGTGCTAAGGTCCTCCAGCGATTCTGCCATAAGGACTATATCGTCGGCAAATCGAAGGTGAGTGATGTACTCGCCATTCATGTTAATACCGTATCCTTTCCAGTCCAGTAGCTTGAAAACATCTTCCAACGCAGTGGTGAAGAATTTCGGGGATATAACGTCACCCTGTCTTACACCTCTCTGCAGTTGGATAGGTTTCGTACTCTGGTTCTGTACTCGGATAGCCATCGCAGCCATACTGTACAAACACTTCAGCACTTCATTATACCGACAGTCAACTAGGCACCGCTGAAGAAACTGTAGCACCGCCCAAATTTCGACGGAATCAAAGGCTTTCTCATAGTCCACATACGCCAGGCAAAGTGGCAGATTGTACTCTTCGGACTTCTGTACAATTTGCCGAAGGGTATGTATGTGGTCTATGGTACTGAAGCCTTTTCGGAAACCGGCTTGTTCGGGAGGCTGGAAGTCGTCGAGTCTGCGTGCGAGACGATTCGTAATGACTCTCGAAAACAGCACGTAGACGTGGCTCAGAAGGGAAATCGGTCTGTAGTTCTTCAAGAGAGCGTTGTCGCCTTTCTTAAAGAACAAGACCACCGCGCTTCTGCTCCACGCCTCCGGAGTAGTGCCACCATGGAGGACGGAATTGAAGAGCTTCTGAAGGACTTCAAGTATCGGTGTTCCACCCGCTTTCAGAAGCTCCGCTGTAATTCCATCCTCGCCCGGGGCCTTGCCGTTTTTAAGGTGGTGGAGAGCCATTCTAATCTCGCTCGGACTGACGTCCGGGATATCATCGGAATAGTTTCGGATAAGACTTGCTCTTGGATCGTTACTCACACTTGCGTGTGGCTCCAACGATGATGTGTA